CCCATCAGCATCAGAGCTTATAACAATAACTGTTCATATATTTTTGTAAATTATTTCTGTCTTACCCTGTCAATGTATTTTCGTGTTTTTGTTTGTTTTATTTCTAGACAATCATACTTGTACTTTTGTACAAAACCTTTATCTCAGCCATTGTTCAAGTTTTTAAAATCTATTTGTTTAGTTTGTTGAAATGTTGTGTCTGTTATTTGCTGCCATTAACTAATATTTTTCTTAGACGATGTTTTCTAATATGTTTTAGTGCTTTACATTGTATGCTCCTTATAATCCACTACTGGAGTTTCGCATAAGATTTTTACTGTTACTGTATATTGACGATGTAACGACAATTTCTCACTGGAAAATAAAGTATTTTGTGATCTAATCTATATCAGCATATATCTGTTTTATCTTATACTGTGGGGCGGTGGGGTAGCCTAGTGGTTAAAGCGTTCGCTGGTCGCGATGGAGATCTAGGATCGATTCCCCACAAAGGTACAATGTGTGAAGACCATTTCTGGTGTCCCAGTCGTTTTATTGCTGGAATATTGCTAAAAGCGGCGTAGAACAAACCTCACTCACTCACTATCTTATGCTGTCCATTGCAAAAATGAAGACTATTCGTATATTGGATACCTAGTGGTTAAAGCGTTCGCTGGTCACAAGGGAGATCCAGGATCGACTCCCAACAACGAGTTGTATGCTCCCCAGGGAGTTGAGATTGACAATACGATGTTCCGTTGAAATTGACATCCAGTGAACGAGGGAAAAACAAAAGCGCCTTTGAGCAGCTGAGCTGAGTTGGATATCGGCGCTATACAAATGTTCGTATGTATGTATGTATGTATAAGTGTGAAGACATTTCTAAAAAAAGTAAGGCCAGAAATGCTTGGAAAATGCTTTTTGGCTTCAGTATCAATATGATGAATTTGACACAAGATAAAAGCACAAATATGATACATGTACGACTTTACCTAGTTGGATATTAAAGCTCAGATGAAAATATGCACTTGAGGGGTGACTTCACAGGAGGAAATTTTGGCGTTTTAACAACATTCGTAAACGTTCGTAAGTACAAACTGTAGTTTTGAAATGCAGACTATAATTATTCATATAGGCTCAACTGATTTAAATGATTGTCAAAAGTTTGTTTGTTTTTTTAATATCTATATGTGAAATGACTCACTGTCTTCTTCGGCGACATATTCTTCGGCGCTCTCAACATCTGATGAAGGATACTCATTAAGGAGTAGTCTCAACTCCGACAACGCAATGTCATCTTCATCCACAGAATCTGAATCACCTTCATGAGAAATAATGTCCACATGTCTGTAACAGTTGCTAATTGTTTGCGCACTAACTTCGTCCCAACTAGTTTTCACAAAGAGAAGTGCCTGTCTCACAGTCAGTTTCTGGTCACGCCCCTCCTCGGCACAGGTGATGTAATGTCTCACAAGCGATCTCTTGTAGTATGCTTTAAATGTCCGAATTATCCCTGCATCCATCGGTTGAATATGTGACGTTGTGTTTGGTGGCAAAAAATGCAAGGTCACATTTCGCAAAGTTAGTGAAGCACACTTGTGACTTGTAGCGTTGTCGAGAAGCAAAATCACTTTAAGTCCACGTGACCGCATCTGTCTGTCAAAGTACAACAACCAATCACAAAACAGCTCACTTGTCATCCACGCCTTTGTATTGTGTCGATATCTCACACAGACTTCTGAGTTAAAATCACGTCCGAAACACCTCGGTCTTCTTGCCTTACCGATCACAAATGGCTTTACTTTTACAGTACCGCTTGCATTTGCACACAATGCCACAGTTATTCTGTCCTTTGAACGTTTCACACCAGGCGTGGCTTTAGTTGCTAGGGTGTAATTCGGTCTTAATCTGTAAAAAAGTCCTGTTTCATCAATGTTGAAAATAGCTTCGGCGTCGTACTCCCTTAAAACTTTCTTCAGTTCCTCTCTCCCCGCGATGACTGCAGTCTTGTCGGCACTGGTTGCTTCACCCTGGAGCACTTGTTTCGAAATAGAGTGCCGAGATTTGAACCTGGCCAGCCATCCACGAGAATACGCGAAATCCTTAATTGACAACTTGTCACCGAAGTCTTTCGCTTTCAGAATCAACATCTCGTCATTAACAGCTGCATTCTTACTGGTCATGTCATTCATCCATAAGGCCGAGGAACTCTTGTAGTAGTTATATTCAAAATAATTACGTAAATAAGTCTAAAATCAAATCTCATAGATAATCTTGTTCACCCATAAAAGTTTCATTGAACCGGCAATATGCAACTTGATATCTCTGCAGAACATTTAATTGCACATTTATACCAGTATTTCATACTGGAGAAACATAGGGGGAAACCCCTCGTCAGCTATGACAGGGTTTCCTATAGAATGTATAAAGCCCTTAATTTGACATATATACTAAGTCAGAAAAGAAACTTCACAACATGTAATTTGAAAAATAATGAATAATTTTTCTCTGATGATACATCTATGTATCCGAAATGGGATCCCTATCTTTCGACTCTAGAAAAACGTTAGCAAAACCCACTCAAACCCATCCATTCCTCGTGCAAATGACGTTAGGGCCAAATCAGGTTTTGCACGTGCAGTCGATCACGTGATCTTCGAATCGAAGTTTCTTCATATGTACGTGTTTGCATTGGCCTCAAGAATTGAAAAAAACACTTTTAAACCACAGTTCTAACGGTACTTGAAATGCCACGATTGTCAAATGTGCAACGTGAACGTGCCGTTGGCATGTTGCAAGCGGGAAGATCAGTTATTGACGTCGCAAGAGCAATGGGATGCAGCCGTCGTTCTGTGTATGACTTGCGAAGTCGTCTACAACAAACTGGCACCACTTCTGATCGCCCAAGGTCGGGTCGTCCACGTGTGACGTCACGAGCAGAAGACCGTCAAATCGTCCTACGTCACCTACGTGACAGATTTCTGCCGGCTACACGAACCAGGGCTGAGATGTTTAGAGGTCGACTGTCCTCACAGACCATTCGAAATCGGTTGCGGGCTGCCAGTCTCCATTCTCGACGTCCATATTGTGACTTGACATTCTGTATACCCATGTTTTGGAACGGCGGTGTAGCCTAATGGAACTGATTATGGCACTGTCAGTGTATCGAGTACATCACACAGATCTCAGCAATGAAATAATAACAATTTAACCATCTTACCATCTCTTTTTCTTTTATAGTGCCCTGAAGAAAGAATGTGAAGTTTCTTTTTTGACTCAGTATATTTCAGGTTTGCAAAGTTGTAAACAAATTAGTTACCTCAGGGGTCGTGTCAAAATCAAAACCAGATAGGAAACACAAACTGGATAGCTTTGATAAGGGTGTCATACGCCGTGCAGTTTATAAACTGTATGAACGCAAAATCCCACCGACGTGTGCTAAAATACAAGATGAGATCAAAGATACAATAAATGTCCTGTTGTCATTCCGCTAAACTCCTCCATCAGCAGTGATACTGACACTTGATACTATAGTGTCCCGTCCATGGTATTGCTGGAATGTTGCTAACAGCGGCGCAAAATATTACTCACTTACTTTTCCTACTGGGAACGCCTGGACACCTTGGAACACCGGAATTTAGGAAACACTTTGGATAGCTGGAATATCTCGACTTAAATAACCACATATACTGCTTCCCAGAATTTCAGGAATACTCACATTCCTGGGGCACACAGATGTCATGCACATTGCGCAGATCGATGCTCATGCTTTTGATCACTGGATTGTGTGGTCCAGACTTGATTATTTACAGACCGCCGCCTTATAGCTGGAATATTGCTGAGTGCGGCGTAAAATTAAACTCACTCACTCACTTATATAAGTCTCTCTCTCTCTCCCTCTCTTTAATTAGCTCTCTCTCTCTCTGTAATTGTTTCCTCTCTCTCTCTCTCTCTCTCTCTCTCTCTGTACCTCTCTCTAGCCTCTCTCTCTCTGCATCCACCTCTCTCTAGCCCTCTCTCTCTCTCTCCTAAGGGGATAGCCTCCTCTCTCTCTCTCTACCTCTCTTAGCCTCTCTCTATCTCTCTCTCTCTCTGTACCTCTCTCTCTCTCTCTCTCTCTCTCTCTCTCTCTCTCTCTCTCTCTCTCTCTCTCTCTCTCTCTCTCCTCTTAGCCTCTCTCTCTCTCTCTCTCTCTCTCTCTCTCTCTCTCTCTCTCTCCCTCCTCTCTACTCTCTCTCTCCTCTCTCCTCTCTCTCTCTCTCTCTCTCTCTCTCTCTCTTAGCCTCTCTCTCTCTCTCTCTCTCTGTACCTCTCTCTCCTATCCCTCTCTCTACCTCTCTCTTAGCCTCTCTCTCTCTCTCTCTCTCTCCTCTCCTCTCCTCTTAGCCTCTCTCTCTCTCTCTCCTCTCTCTGCCCTCTCCTCTCCTCTCTCTCTCTCTCTCTCTCTCTCTCTCTCTCCTCTCTCTCTCTCTCTCCTCTCTCTCTCCTCTCTCTCTCCTCTTAGCCCTCTCTCTCTCTCTCTCTCTCTGTACCTCTCTAGCCTCCCTGCACCCTCTCTATCCTCCTCCAGCACCTCTCTCTCTCTCTCTCTCTCTCTCTCTCTCTCTCTCTCTCTCTCTCTCTCTCTCTCTCTCTCTCTCTATCTCTCTCCTCTTAGCTCTCTATCTCTCCACCCCTCTCCAGCCTCTCTCTGTACCCTCTCTCTCTCTGCCTCTCTCTCTCTATCTCTCTCTCTCATCCTCCTCTTAGCCTCTCTATCTCTCCCTCTCTGCCCTCTCTATCTCTCTCTGTACCTCTCTCTTTTCTCTCTCTCTCTCTCTCTCTCTCTCTCTCTCGGTATCTATACATATATGTGTATGTATATGTATGTATGTATGTGTGTGTGTCTGTGTATATATATATATATATATAGCGAGAGAGAGAGAGAGAGGAGGAGGCTTGTCTGTTCCCAGTATCAACTATTAGTTTTAACCAGCTGGCATCACTTTTCACAACATCCTGTGACGTCACACAATCACACAACCGTGCACGGCTATGCCTCTCAACGTCTGTGTCTGTTATTCTGTGTACTGCGCCAGGCAAATCGACTGTTTTCACGGTTAAAATCTACTTCTTACAGGTATGTTGCCAATCACGGCTAATGGACACATTTTTTTATCCACAACTGTTTTCATACTTCCTGCATACAACCTTTCCCTAACGACACTAACGCAGCTAACACTGGTCGTGGCGTATGCTGGCCGACTCGTATAAGAGGCATCCAGGGTGCATCACGATGTCGATTTCTGAATGCATGTCACTTTGTAGCCAACCAAGCGAATAGGTTTTGTGTGCAACATGTGGACGGTTTGTCCAGATTTCAGCACTGTGCACATTATACACTCAGCAAAAACTGTCCTGTTTTTAAACAAACATCTATTAATCTGTTTCTTTGGCTTGGCACCGGTGTGTTGACAAAGGAGCACATTTTAGCATTGGATACAGGCTTTTTAGCCTTGACCCAAAATATTAAGGTCGGGGTGACACTGGGTTAGTTTCATCCTTGTTCAATCTGACAAAAGACGCCACCACCAGTGTTATTTCCGCTCATAAAAGCAGGAAACGGCCACTTTGGGCAATTACCTAAACACCTAGTGACCCATGACATATTTCTTGTGATTAAGTTGTCACCGGCTCGCATAGCTAAATTACATAGCGTTCACTGACATGAATGCTATGTATCTTAGCTACGGCTCGCAAAAACGATCTAGGTACGGTGTTTTCAGACCGCGCCGTCCTCTCAAATGTCTGTCTTCCGTCGGTACTCGGCAAACTCCGGGGTAGTCGTCCAGCGTTATTGCATTCATTGCTGGAGAATTGGTGACCCGTAAATTTTATTCTCTAGCCCATACGGCTGGCTATCGAATAGATCATAGAAATCGATTATCGTTACTTAAATATCGATCGATTATCGATAAATATCGGAGACGTATCTTTGACCAAAATAGTCAGAAAGAAATGAATACATTTCACATTACTGGTAAGCGGTGACATGTTTTTGCATGGATTATTAACAAGCAGCGTCTTGAACATAATTTAGATGCAGACCATGAATAAAGTCCTAAGCTTGTACATTTTGTGAGTAAATTGAGTAAATATACGATATTATCGTTAACACAATTTTCATATCGATTATATTGGCAATATTCCAGCAATATCAGCAGAAATGGCTTCACACAGTGTACCCATGTGGGGAATCGAACCCAGGTCTTCGGCGTGTCGAGCGAACGCTTTAACCACTAGGGTACCCCACCGCCCATGAAGTGAGGTGAGGTGAAATTGGATTTGCTTGAAATTGGTCGTGCTTGAGAATATTTCGCTCATATGACGACGTGCATGCGTGTGTATGTGTATGTGCGGCTGCTTGTACTTACCCAGACTGAAGCTGGTTTTATAGTGCTAGCCTACTGAGATACCAAGCCGCAGTGAAGCATGATTATATCCCACTCAGGCACATTATACTGACTCCGAGCCGACCAGTCCTTGTACCCATTAATGCCGAACGCCAGGCAGGGACCAACAAGTACCATATTTTAACGTCTTCTGGTATGACGCGGCCGGGGATCGAACCCGCGACCTTCCGCTCTCCGGGCGGACCCCTCTAACCACTACACCACGGAGGCGGTCGCCCATGAAATAGTGAGACATTATGTCAGGTTACACAGGGAGTGAATATAGTCTACTAATTTAGTTCAACAACTTTATCCGGGGAATTGAGGGTAATATTTTACATGTATCGGAATGTTATTTATAGCTCCCAACCTATTGTCACTAAGCACAGCGTTCCTTATGCTAAGTTCATGTCTCAGTGGCAAAGTGGTTTACGGCAAAGAATAACGTCAAAAGGTGGTTTGCAAATAGAAAACTGAAGATAGGTTCAATTTGTTCGTACTACGTTTTCTTCAAAGCTAGCCACCCTTAATAATATCAGACTATCAATGTACAATGTTGCGAAAGACAAATGTGCAGATTTTCCAGAAGGGATGCTTATCAAACGAGTAAAGCGATCGGGACAACTGAAAACTGTTCCAGAAAAGTACGCTTCTGATGTGTACCTGCTGTATAGATACATACGTGGATCTGTGCCAGCTCATGTGATACAGAGTGAAGTCATGAGTAAACAGAAAACTCGATCAGATGATTATACTGATATGGAGAGCTCAGACAATAACTTGAATAATAAGGACACGTTAGCTCGTATGTTCACTAAACTTATGTGTTTTCACGAAGATATGCGTGAAAACTTCATGGATTTAAATGAGAACCTGCAAGATTTCAAGTCTAAGTATGAGAGCGACATGCGGGATATGATAGGGGTCCTTGAACACAAGAATGATGAAATCAAAATATACCACAGTGAAGTCCAGAAGCTCAAAGGCAATGTAGACAAATTGAAATCTGAAATCACTACATTAAAGAGTGAAATCGAAAGGAAAGATATCGACATTAAGGACATGAAAGACACTATAAACACAGCAATAAATGGGATAAATAAAACAACTTGTGCAATTGATGGCAAAATTGACTGTATGAATACCAGAAATAAGCTGCTCTATTCAGAGGCAGTTAACAACCCAAGCTATGGTAAGACCACATCAAGGCCAGTCATTGCTGAAGGCCAATCAACTCCAAGCCATGATTTAACACACCGTGCAGTACAAAACAGCAGAGTCCCAGTCTGCGATGATATCCATCCACCACCAAGCTCAGAAGACAGCTTACTTCTTCTTGATGATAGTCCACCCCACGAGCACGTGCCAGACACGGATGACTCTTTCGGCACGAGATACAAGCCAACCTTAACCCAAGACAATACATCTAATCAATCTAAGAAACAACAGCAATCAAGGTCTGTGAGGTTTAACAATCAGTGGAGACGATCCTTCACAGGTGTGGCTAAATACAAAAACAGGCGACTCGTCATGTCATATGTGAGAGCAGACGAATCTTTTGACATAGTGAAAGATGCTATCGTTGACTACGCCAAAGAACGGGGTGTGACCATTACGAATATAATTCTCCTGCGACATTGGGAAGGCTCTAACCCGACCTATACCATCCGTATTGCAGTCCCTGTACAGTGTGCCAAGATAATATTGGACGACAACACATTCTGGCCAGAGAACGTGAACTGCAGAGAATGGGTTCCCCGGAATACATGGTACTCTAATGATAAACAAGGCGAGAGTGAATATTAACCATGATGCCTTATCTTGCAAGTCTGACCATCTATGGATGTACACTGATGACCGTCGTTAACCTAGCGACATGGAACATTCGTGGTATCAAACATGGAACGTCTGAGCTGTGCAATAAACTCGACGTATGTGACGTCGTGCTTGTTACAGAGCACTGGCTAGACATGGAAAATTCACAGTCTCTGGAGACACTACATGACAAATTTAATGTGTATTCTAAATCCAGTTGTGACTCTAACCAGCACCAACGAGGTTATGGAGGTGTAGCCATGTTTGTACGGAAAGGTGACTGGTGTAAAGCTACTCTTATTGACACCCACCACAGCCGCCACGTACTGTGTATCAAACTGCACATCTTTACCAGCCATGTGTATATACTTGGGACTAGACTGCCATCGACAAATGTCCTTGACAGTGTGTACTATGAAGAACTGTACTATGTTATGGAACTTTATGATATTCTCTCTCAAGAATACCCAACATACCTCCTAGGAGACTTTAATACTGATATCAGTCATGGTATTAATATGAAACCCAGGGCTAGGTGCCTCTTACGACTGCTTAGCGAACGTCACCTTTATTCTGTGGTTCCACTTGACGAGTCAAGGTACACTTTCCATAGTAAATGTAACAAAGTAAAATCATTAATTGACTATGTCTTTGTAGACATTGATTCACTAAGCAGTGTAACTGGATATGTCATTGACACTGGCATCCCATATAACATCTCGGATCACCTACCAATACTTGTCTGTATACTTCTTCCTGTACATGTTGGGTACTATCATGGAAAAACTTAAACTGGACTAAAGCAAGTGAAACTGACCTAATGTTATATCGATATGAAACAGAAAACTACTTTCGTGGAACTGAAATTAACAATGCTCACTTTGATAACAATGTAGACTACATCGAATACTATTGTGATTATATCACAGGCTCCTTACATGCTTCTGCTGCCGGAAGTATTCCATCCACACGCTTTAGGCCATTTCTTAAACCTTACTGGAAGAAAGATGGTCTTAATAATCTGCATAAAGAAATGCGAAATTGTCGCCGTCAGTGGGTTGCAAATGGTAAAGTTAGAGATAAAAACGATGCTGCCTATGCAAAATATAAAGAAAGTAAACGGCTATTTCGTAAGAAACATCGCCATGCAAAACACCAGTTAGCTAAAATAGATTTGATGAAATCTACGAAGCAGCAGAAGTAGATGTTAAAGAATTTTACAAAACTACAAAACGTTACAAACGCTGCAAAGGTAATATTGAAAAACTTTACCTATGATTCTCAAACTTGCTACGAGGGAAAGGATATTTGCAGTCTGTTTGGACTTTATTTCCATTCACTAGCTACTCCTTCCCCTGATGTAAAATGTGACTATGTACATGCTCAGAATGTGAAAGAGCAAATTGCTAATATTGAAACAAGCGATGACATGCACAACGACATCGGTTCGCCATTGCACTGTCCATTCACTGAAGATGAAATCCATTGTTCAGTAAAACGACTAAAAGTACGAAAGTCGCCTGGTCCTGACGGTATAGTGAATGAGCACATAAAGAAGGCTGGTAGATCGCTGCTGCATCATATTGCCTTACTATTCAATGCCATTATTACGTTTGAATACATTCCTAAATCATTTTCTATAGGTCAAATTCTTCCAATACACAAGGGCAACGGTAAACCAAAACATGACCCTGCCAATTATAGAGGAATAACCATGACTTCTGTGTTAAGTAAACTCTTTGAAAGACTTCTCCTTAACAGAATAGAGTCCTGGATAGATACTAAGATAGAATTTCCCCATCCTCTGCAATTTGGATTTAGGCGTCACTATGGTGCTGAAACCGCCGTACTGACATTAAAAGAAAACATTGCATATTACAATGAAAGGATATCGCCTGTATACTGTGCATTCTTAGATAATGAAAAGGCATTTGATCGGGTGTGGCTTGATGGCTTATTTATTAAACTGTATGATATTGGAATAACGGGTAAACTATGGAGAATATTAAGGCTCTCCTATAGCTCCATGAAATCATTTGTATGCTTTGAAGGGTATAAATCGGATACATTCCCGTCAATCAAGGAGTAGGCCAAGGTAGAGTAATGTCCGCCTGGCTATTCACATTATTTATTAATGACCTCCTATATGAACTTGGGAATTCAGATTCTGGCTTAATTTTGCCATGGGGTAAATGCCCTGGGATTCTTCTTGCTGATGACACTACTCTGATGAGTTCCTCTACCAAAGGCCTGCAAAATCTTCTCGATGTCGCTAAAAACTATGCTCATAAATGGCAGCTAAAATATAATGTAAGCAAGAGTGCGGTTCTACACTTTGAATGCTCAAACAATAACGTTAACATCAGTAATGTATTAATTGGTGATATACATGTTCCACAAAGGAAATCTATTAAATATGCAGGTGTATATCTCAGTACAGATAAATCATCACTTGAACGTACAAAATCTGCATGTGAAAAGCTACGAGTACTCATGAACACTAATCATAATAATGGATTGTATTTTGGAGGTCTTAACCCAATATCTGCAGCACGTATCTGGGAGAGGGTAATCTTATCATGTGGCCTCTATGGATGTAACGTATGGGGTAAACTTCCTCTTAAAGAGTATGAAATACTTGAAGTTGTACAACGACAATTTTGTAAAAAAGTTCAGGGACTACACAAGCGCACTCCCAGTATTGTTGTATTGGATTGTATCGGTATCATGCCACTACAGTATTACATAGATAAAGAGCCCTCTACCTATTAGGAAAGTTATGTAATGCAAAGTATAACTGTGTTTTTAAAGTAATGTTTCTAGTTCGCCTTGGTCAATTTATGTGTACAGATAGCTCTACATGCAATGTATATAGTAGAAAATCCCCGATATACAATATGCTGCAACTTGTACATAAGTATAACCTAAACGATATACTAGCTAACTATGTCAATAATGGTCAATTCATCAGTAAGAAATGCTGGTCCAATGCCGTAAATGATGCTACTAAATCTCATCGAGAAAATCTATTTTATGTTCATCTTAATTCAAGACTTAGTCTGTCAAGATATATCAATATAAGATCAATAATGAACACTATCTCTGGATGCTAGCTGCAGAGAAGAACGACCAGTTAATTGATATTGCAAGACTTGTATACTATGGATCAGCTGAAATTGTTTCAAGAGAATGTTCATGTAAAACTGTCGCCAATGATATTGTAAAAGCACGTGTTTATGTCATGTACGATAAATATGAATGACAGAAATGAACTTTTAACTCCATATGTGATATTCTGGATGTAGAAACTTTTGTTAAGATCTGGGATCAAGATGATGATGTTATTCTTGCATTTTACTTGGTGGATGTCCAATTGCGTGCATAATGGAACTAGAAAGAGATGTATGGGCAAAAGTAATAATTAATGTAAGCCATTTTATAAGGAAATGGCGATACTTGCTAAAACACTTGTATGTATATGAACATTTGTGACTCTATCAATAACCTATCTTAATCATTTGATGTAAAATATATTATCACCACACATTGTAATCTTCATTCAGTTGGAGGAAATAAAGAATATCTATCTATCTATCTCTGTACCTCTCTCTTAGCCTCTCTCTCTCTGTACCTCTCTCTTACCTCTCTCTCTCTCTCTCTCTCTATCTCTCTCTTAGCCTCTCTCTTAGCCTCTCTCTCTCTATCTCTCTCTGTACCTCTCTCTCTATCTCTCTCTCTATCTCTCTCTCTCTCTCTCTCTCCTCTCTCTCTCTCTCTCTCCCTCTCTCTCTCTCGGTATCTATACATATATGTGTATGTATATGTATGTATGTATGTATGTGTGTGTGTATATATATATATATATATATATATATAGAGAGCGAGAGAGAGAGAGAGAGGGAGGAGGCTTGTCTGTTCCCAGTATCAACTATTAGTTTTAACCAGCTGGCATCACTTTTCACAACATCCTGTGACGTCACACAATCACACAACCGTGCACGGCTATGCCTCTCAACGTCTGTGTCTGTTATTCTGTGTACTGCGCCAGGCAAATCGACTGTTTTCACGGTTAAAATCTACTTCTTAGAGGTATGTTGCCAATCACGGCTAATGGACACATTTTTTTATCCACAACTGTTTTCATACTTCCTGCATACAACCTTTCCCTAACGACACTAACGCAGCTAACACTGGTCGTGGCGTATGCTGGCCGACTCGTATAAGAGGCATCCAGGGTGCATCACGATGTCGATTTCTGAATGCATGTCGCTTTGTAGCCAACCAAGCGAATAGGTTTTGTGTGCAACATGTGGACGGTTTGTCCAGATTTCAGTCACATTATACACTCAGCAAAAACTGTCCTGTTTTTAAACAAACATCTATTAATCTGTTTCTTTGGCTTGGCACCGGTGTGTTGACAAAGGAGCACATTTTAGCATTGGATACAGGCTTTTTAGCCTTGACCCAAAATATTAAGGTCGGGGTGACACTGGGTTAGTTTCATCCTTGTTCAATCTGACAAAAGACGCCACCACCAGTGTTATTTCCGCTCATAAAAGCAGGAAACGGCCACTTTGGGCAATTACCTAAACACCTAGTGACCCATGACATATTTCTTGTGATTAAGTTGTCACCGGCTCGCATAGCTAAATTACATAGCGTTCACTGACATGAATGCTATGTATCTTAGCTACGGCTCGCAAAAACGATCTAGGTACGGTGTTTTCAGACCGCGCCGTCCTCTCAAATGTCTGTCTTCCGTCGGTACTCGGCAAACTCCGGGGGTAGTCGTCCAGCGTTATTGCATTCATTGCTGGAGAATTGGTGACCCGTAAATTTTATTCTCTAGCCCATACGGCTGGCTATCGAATAGATCATAGAAATCGATTATCGTTACTTAAATATCGATCGATTATCGATAAATATCGGAGACGTATCTTTGACCAAAATAGTCAGAAAGAAATGAATACATTTCACATTACTGGTAAGCGGTGACATGTTTTTGCATGGATTATTAACAAGCAGCGTCTTGAACATAATTTAGATGCAGACCATGAATAAAGTCCTAAGCTTGTACATTTTGTGAGTAAATTGAGTAAATATACGATATTATCGTTAACACAATTTTCATATCGATTATATTGGCAATATTCCAGCAATATCAGCAGAAATGGCTTCACACAGTGTACCCATGTGGGGAATCGAACCCAGGTCTTCGGCGTGTCGAGCGAACGCTTTAACCACTAGGGTACCCCACCGCCCATGAAGTGAGGTGAGGTGAAATTGGATTTGCTTGAAATTGGTCGTGCTTGAGAATATTTCGCTCATATGACGACGTGCATGCGTGTGTATGTGTATGTGCGGCTGCTTGTACTAACCCAGACTGAAGCTGGTTTTATAGTGCTAGCCTACTGAGATACCAAGCCGCAGTGAAGCATGATTATATCCCACTCAGGCACATTATACTGACTCCGAGCCGACCAGTCCTTGTTGTACCCATTAATGCCGAACGCCAGGCAGGGACCTACAAGTACCATATTTTAACGTCTTCTGGTATGACGCGGCCGGGGATCGAACCCGCGACCTTCCGCTCTCCGGGCGGACCCTCTAACCACTACACCACGGAGGCGGTCGCCCATGAAATAGTGAGACATTATGTCAGGTTACACAGGGGAGTGAATATAGTCTACTAATTTAGTTCAACAACTTTATCCGGGGAATTGAGGGTAATATTTTACATGTATCGGAATGTTATTTATAGCTCCAACCTATTGTCACTAAGCACAGCGTTCCTTATGCTAAGTTCATGTCTCAGTGGCAAAGTGGTTTACGGCAAAGAATAACGTCAAAAGGTGGTTTGCAAATAGAAAACTGAAGATAGGTTCAATTTGTTCGTACTACGTTTTCTTCAAAGCTAGGGGCGGTGGGTTAGTCAAGTGGTTAAAGCGTTCGCTCGTCACGCCGAAGACCCGGGTTTGATTCCCCACATGGGTACAATGTGTGAAGCCCGTTTCTGGTGTCCCCGTGATATTGCTGGAATATTGCTAAAAGCGGCGTAAAACCAGACTCACTCACTCTTAAAGGTTACTCTAAAGATTACATACTCCAAGGACAGAGTTCATTATCAAATTGTGCTCCCTCAGTGAATAGAATGCATCGGTGTAATACTTTTCATTGCTTGAGGGGGGTTACGACAAAGAATTAGGTCAAATAAATTAGGTTGCAAATATAGAGGTGAGGTGGGGTGAGGTTGGGTATCGGGCACAGGCAACCGGACATTCCTTGTGTTAAAATATTAATGCCAAGCGCAATGTAACAAGACGTACTATCATGCATATTTACTTAGGTATTGTCCAGCCAGGCCATCACACCACTGATTGTCCACTCTCCGGGCCAGTCTCAAAGCCAGTCGTCAACCCATTCAGCCTTTGCCGACTTGTGTACGCCTCTGACAAGTGTATGTACTGTGTTTTGATTAAATGCCACTCTGTGTTGCGTCTGTATATTTACTGTATAGTACGGAGTTCATTATCTGCTTTGCTCCCTCAGTAGACTGAACGCTTGGATGTTCGAGGAGGCTGTAGGTACAGGGTTAGTCTTGAGAATCACAGAGGTCACATCGTCTCTGCGCTACCGTAGTTTAGGTGTGAGTGAGTATAGTTTTGTGCCGCGTTTTGCAATATTCCAGCAGTATCATGACACGACATTGTGCCCATGTGGGGAATCGAACCCGCGTCTCCGGCGTAACGGGCGAAATCTTACGCCACAAGACTACCTCACTGCCTCCGATGCCAATGCCGATGTTGATGACGTTTCGACACACGATGGTCTGTTCGCATAAAATAGTATCGTTATATACACTGAAAAGGTTCTCGTATTCTGACAATAGCCACACATCTGACATGGTAGTTTTTACCCGCTGCTTGATTTACATGACCCTTCCTCTTAGAAGACATATCTATGACGTGATAGACTATAGGTGGATTTATATGAAACAACAACTGCACTGGTTCGGGTTTGATGCTTAGAACTCCGTGTATTTTGGCAGATTGTATTTTGTGAATATTTTGCACGTGCGACATTCAGAGTCTGTGTATTCCAAAACCATGGGACATCCTATAAGGACAACCTTTATGGATGAACACCATTTATTATTATTCTGTGAGGCCTTCTCTGCCTGCCGAAAGAAGTATTTAAAATGCTCCAATGATACCCCACACACGATATATAATGTACGGTCGTACTTAATTCTAATAATGCTGATATTATCAAATCTGTTGCAATTTTCATAAAACATTTGATGTTCATCCGTAAATCGTATGTAAAACTATAATTTCATGTCACGTGACCAATAGTTGAAATTTTGCATCTTCAATTGTACTTTGGGCCACTGGGCCTTAACTACTGAATAAAACCTGTCTGTCTGTCTGTTTATTCTTCTTTATTCAGGTGATGCGACGTCATACCTGCTTGACAACATACAAGAATCTGTATCAAAACGTCAGTAGTAAGGGGCCAGCGCTTTTCCGAGGTGACGTAATATGCCCTCGGGAAAGCGCTGGCCCAACACCATGACGTCACGGAGGCGATGACCGCCTCCCTGTGACGTCGGAAAAAGACCCACCACCACCATGACATCACGATGACCGCCTTATGACGTCGGAAAAAAGGAGCCCACATGGCGTCATGATCATGAGCTGACCACCCTATGACGTAGGAAAAGACATCACGGAGACGATGACCACCCTATGACGTAGAAAAAAAAAAGGCGCTGACTCACCACCACCATGACGTCACGGAGACGGTCATGAGCTGACCATCCCTGTGACATCACACACAAACACAAATGACGGCCATAAGAATCCGAGTGCGTCCATCAAACTAAAAATAATCTCAATTGCTCTCGCACGCATTTTTACCTAATAAATGCACCATTAGCGTGCCTTTAAATATCTGGTTTGAAGGAGGCTAGGGAATGTCGTACTGTCTATGTAAAGCTCTCTACAATACTAGACCGCAAGGCATACATAACTATACACTCTTAATCACACGACCACCCCGTCTGTGTAAAGCTCTCTACAATACAAGACGGTAAGACGGTGATATTCTACATAAAAACAAATCTGTGAGGTAGAAAACGGCAAAGCAGCAAGAGTAGTACGGAATGTTACGTTCTTTACCTCGTATCGTAAACCCCAAACAGGGACGAATAACAATTTTGAAGGAGGTCTGTAAATGTCGTGCTGTCAATGTAAAGCTCTCTACAATACAAGGCAGCAAAACAAATGTATCAAGATGCTCAAATGTATCAACACGCCCTCCGGTTTATGTAAAGCTCTCTACAATACAACACGGGAAGGCGGTTATATTCTACCAAATACATAGAAGACATCGAGTCGGGCAGTCTATGTAAAGCTCTCTACAATACAAGACCGCACGAGCATCGTATTCTTCATTGTTTAAACCACCACCAAAAATATACCCAGGAGGTAGACATCGTCAACACTTTTTATATAAAACACAACAAAGGCAAGTAAACAACATTTCACAAATTTTATTCGTAAATATGCTTAGATTACATTTTTTACTCACAATTCAGCTCTCAGTTCACAAAGCAGTTCTCATGTCAGTATCAAACCTGACGGGGCAAGTAATTTTCAGGAATGAGCACGATGGGTTGAACCTGTGATGTTCAAAGTCAATGTCATCCTCGGCACACCATTTCCACAGTCGTAATCCACACCAGGCACATGCGACCTTGTCCAAAACACCGGTATAATAAAACCCTCTCCGGGCTAGCTGTCTACCCTTCTGAACCAGCTGTTCAGGCCAGTCCTTAAAAGTAGCCATCCTGTCGTAGCCACATTACATCGTTTCGTGGTAGTAGTTCTGACTTAAATCGACCAGCAGCTTTCTATGCACCACCGATGGTTGTTTTCCACAGGTGTAGTGCCCACGTTGAAGATAATATTTACCATCCAGTGATACATTGTCTTCGTATACATAGTCCGATAAAGTCACTGGCCCCTTCCTCGCATCGGTATCATCCTCACAGCAATCGGACAATTGACCCCTTTCTTCATCCTTCTGGTGTTTAAGGGTATCGTGGCACTGAGACATCTTTGCTATATCGTGGCAGTAGTTCTGGCTTAAATCGTCCAGTAGCTTTCTATGTACTCCCTCAAGTGTCGTACACGCAAGGAAGATGATATTGTCCATCCAGCGATACAGTGTCTTTGTATACATGGTCCGATAAAGTCACTGGCTTCCTAGCGTCGGTATCATCATCATAGCAATCGGACAATTGACCCCTTTCTCCATCCTTCTGGTGGTTAAGGGTATCGTAGCACTGAGACATCTTTGCTGTAGTGAGTGGACACTCGAAAATATACAACCTCACTCTTCGGCTGTCGGGTTCTAACTGACTTCTAGCTTGACGTATCTGGGAGGTCAGTCAGTCAGGGGTAACGACGTGTGTGACATCATCGTCAATCCCTCCGTGGGAGGTCAATCTGTCAGGGTACCGACGTGCGTGACATCATCGTCAATCCCCAGGGGCACACGCTACTCCACACCCCAGGCACTAAGGACCTGTACGCCATCGTCAAAGCCTTGGGTCGTCAATAGCTTCGTTATACAAGCGTGTCGGAGCAAACAGATGAGGGTCTCTGCCTCCGCTGATTAAAACAGAATCCGCCAAGAATACACAACCCTGCCCCTACGCATATTTAGAATTGTTCGAGCATACGTTTCACGCTATCATCATACCATCTGAAAACCATCGAATCGTTCTTAAGCGTGTTCTTTTGACTGTAATGTTTCACTATCTCGTCGTTGGAAATACCCCTAGAACGACAGCTACTGAAATATAAGCAATGGTGTCCGCAAGCTACAGACGATAGGCTCTGCACGCGAACTCTATTGTAGGTATATTGCAAACGACCATATTTTGACACAAAATTGTGAAATTCGACCCAAATTCGCGTGTAATCTATACCGTATGAGCCGTGTATGTGTAATCTACCGGGTGCCTCTATACTTAACGCTAGCCAGTGACTGCCCGGCTCGCTTTTCTTGTCCGTGTTGCAAATAACAGGATAGGATATTTCAATCTTTTCACCCCGCTAAGCATAATACTGCGTATTTTATTACCACACACCTCTTCCAAAGTATCCCTACTACTGATACCACCGTAGTTGTTTTTAAGAAAAGGGTCGTTTTGTCCAAACCATTGTAAATCTCGTCCGTACAACATTTTAGAAGGATATGTAACCCGTCCGTCGTCTACATCAGTGTATAGCAGCATTTCTAAAGTGGTCAAATTCTATGATACTGTCCAGTTCTCTACAGCACACCAACGTCAAGGCTCGGGGCGTTGGCTGCGAAAATTTCAAATCTATGCCCACCTTACCAGAGCTCTTCGGGTACACGTGTGACATGTCGGCACCCAAATCGTGCTATAAATCGAACACAAACAACGTAGTACCGTCTAAAAATTCTTCCAGAGTCACTGTGTGCGTGGAATTTCTCCCTAAACCCCCTGTATTTCTAAACAGCTCCAGGTATGTCTGATACATTCGCGTAGAGTCGGGCTCGAAATTGACGGTATGACATCTTTTACCTACCTCCTGACCGTTCACTTTTACGGCTATTTCAGTCAATCCAAAAGGTTGGAAATTAAAAGGATTTTTATTCGAGACCCCCGCAAAGGATTCGTTGTCGACGAGGCCGAGTACTATTCTTTTAGGGATATTACCCATTATTAAGTGTTCAGAATTATATTCTCTCAAGCCTTGAGGAATGTCGTGTGCCATGTTTTTCACTTGCGCTATGGGATACTTTACAGTGCTAACGCGCGTCAAACCCCTGCTATGACTATCTCTAATGGCAGGTGCTACGTTTACCTGTCTGACATAAAACTCGGCCGATAGTATGTGGCAAGCATACCCGGGTATGCGAGTACCAGCCTGGTCTGTGGTACCGTGTAACATGTAGAAATTATGCGGACTACGTATCAGTTAAATTTTTAAAGGCACGCCATCTATGAGGTATCTATGCTGCATAAACAAATCAGAGTGTAATTTCCCGATGAACTCTACAGGTCTACTGGGGACACATTTGCGTCGTCGTTCCTCGAAAGCTGGGTTTGAATTTCCCTGTCCTAGAGAGAAGTTATTAAAACACCCTGCCTTATCTTTACTGAAATTCTGCGCTACCAAATTGTTGTCTATTTGTGATTGATCGCAGCTCAGCAGTGTTTCAATATACGCCCTGTACGGGTATGTACCCAAACTGACTGTTAATTCTAACTGATTAGAGCCCGCTATTGCCCTTACCTCACGAAATAGAGAATGTAGCGTATTTGTCACTGGTGCGCACACGTCTCTGTGTCTAGTCACCGTTTCCCCATCAGCGCTCAACACATTGTCAGCGACTGTATCGCTGCCATTCACCGTC